AAGCAAAACAAATTCAACTATTTAAATAGTTTACCTACTGATGCCTGCAAGGGGCATTTGGGGATATAAAAGGAAAATGTACTTTTAGGTGAAGCTTGAACTGCTTGCAAAATCCTGCACAAAGCAAATTTGGGCTATGCATCCTAGGTGCATAAAGGAGTACTACCAAATATCCTTCCTTTCAGCAGGTATTAGACGCAATAACCAGGGTTTCCCCTGGTATACTAGAAGCCCGTTGAAGCCCCACCAGGCTAAAACTTTTTTGTTTTTATCAATTTATTTATTTTTAATTGTTTAAAATAGTTTTTTTTAATACACCAGTAACCCCGGACTGCAGAGCAGAATCATTCCACAAAGGCAGTTTTATAGTTGATGCATTGAGCATGGCATGAAGCTGGCCGTGTGTAGAAATCACACCATTAGCGCCTCTGCACCTTGGCTGCTGTTGCGGCTGGCTCTCTGAAATTTACCTCAGTGTGGTTAACGCCCCATTTCTCACTCAAACTGGACGATTTGGAAGGTGTTCTATTAGAGAAACTTCACCTACATTTATATTTACCCCCTGTGAGAAAAGATGTCCCTTTGGAGAATGCTTCAGTAAGGTATGAGTCAAGTTTAAAAGCCACCTCATTTGATCTGCTTGTGCAAATCGCAAATATAACCTATACCTATGGTTGCGCTTTCAGGGGTGCGCATTGTACGTGCCGTGCAGTGAAGATATATATTTGTAAACAAATAATTATGTGTGGCATGTACTTTTACACCTCACACACGCTGCCCAGTTCGTGGCTCTGTGTCTGCAGTGCAGCTTGATAAATGTTTATGCATGTGTTTCCGGTCAGACAGTGCGTTAGTGGGCCGGTGGTTCAGCCCATGGAGGAGCTGTTGTGCTCTCCTCACAGTCACTCAGAATGCTGGGGTTTTTTGTGTGTGTTTTGTTTTTTGCAGTGCCACAATGCTTCAAACTGCGCCACATCAAATCTCGCTCCAGTCAGACATAGTTGCTACACACAGCCGCGCAGAGTACAGAGAAATTTGGAATGTAATGCCATGACTACCAAAACAAATGTTCTCTGTTTGCTAACATTTTAATCGCCAAATTTAACACAAACTCTATAGACACAAAATGGAACAGTTTGGTCTATACCAGTGCAACACAAATTAAATATCCTTGTTTGTCCCTCTGCATCCTGCAAAGAGATGTGCAGTGCAGCAGTTCTAGCTAGTCATGCAGGGCCAGGCCTATGTCGTATGAGGACCACGAGCAGAATTTGATTTACGGACCCCTGTTGCTAAGAACATCAACACCACTTACTGCGTTTCACCGTAGATTTAACAGTATCTGGGAGAGGGAGTCTTGTTTAATTGACCATGTCTAAAAGCAATCAGTGATAATTGTAGTTTACTGAGATATATTTGTGAGCAAACAGAGCTCAAACTCACATTATCAGACTATTGCTATGGTAACAAAAAAATCTACGAAAATTGCTCTTTGCACTTTTACAAAGCAAAGTTACCAGATCTTTAAAATCTTAAATTTAAATGTTACACAATTTAAAATCTTTTATTTATTTATGCTGAAACCATTAAATCAAATTTAACAGCAATTATATTCTCACTAAATGTTAACTTTCTATATATGTGCACTGTGTTAAAATGTTAGCATTTATGGGGCCCCTGAAGGCCTGGGGTGCCATAAGCAGCTGCTGAATTAATTTGGATTTAACAGAAGCGCAAATAATTGATATTTATTTTAATTGGATTTTTTATTTGTTGGTTTTAAGACTATAGTTGTGTGTTTAAATAGCATTTCACTGACAAAGTTTGGTAACATAATTACCCAGTGATATTTTTATATTTCTTGCCAACATCTTTAAATATAAAAACAGTTTTTCTTATGCTGAAAAAAATGCTCTTACTGTACAGTGTGTTATTCTTACTTTTGTTTTTGTATTTGTGTAAATCTACATGCTTCTACTTGCCAGTCACTTTGCTGCTGGTACACCTGACTTTCCCCACTAGGGAAAAATAAAGGTCGATTCTATTTCAGCACAAGTTACAATATCCAACAAAGGTTTCTCAAAATTCTGAGTAATCTATTGTGAGAGCCCTTTTTTTTTCTTACAGTACCCAGCAAAAATGTAGCAAGCTGCAGTGTTACTTTTTTTAAAGTAAGTGAAAATAATTATTTGGAATATTTGGAAGATCTGTCTTTGCTCCACCACTAAAAGACATAGAATCTACACTAATTGAAGTTTGCATTGTTCTTGCGATTAAGCAATGAATTATTCAAGCTCATCTCTCCTGACACCCAAATAACAGGAGCATGGACAACAATTTTGATGGAAAAGAACTTTGTAAATTGCGTAGATTTCTTCTTTGTATATTTTCAAGAGAATTGCATACAGAGCTCCAAATCTATGTTAAAATTATTACAAAATAACCCTAACCCTATCCCATATGGTGCTGACTAGGGGTTGTAAATAATGATGTTTCTTTCCCCACAATAAGGAGGTGCAGAAGTCTCCTACATGGCAATTTAAAAAAAAAAAACTTGTGCTTTTCTGTAAAATGTTTTTGTGCTAAGATGAGGTGGTTTTCGGCTGTATCAAAATTTGTACATGTATCAGTATGTGACTATATTTGTTGTATAGGTAGATCTCATGCAAACACGACAAAGTCAACTAGACAAATATGGGAAGATGGCAAATTTATGCACTTGTCAGGAGAATAGGTGGCTCTCTTTATTTACTTTTAATAAAGTAGGTCTACCTTTAGCCCTAACTCCACATAAGATAAAATAAATAAACTCACCAGATTCCCCTTTCTGCTCCGTAGATGGACTCAGCTTAGACCACCATGGTGTAAACTTCAGCAAGCGATTTATCTCATCGTCTTCAAACAAGTCAGCTCTGAAAAGACAGAGATGTTAGCAGTCCCAAGCAACAGAGAAAATAAGGTTGGGGATTAATAATCTTTACTCACAAATAATGGTCAGAAGAGAAAGCCAATGCCTCTGCCTCCAGCCGAGCCCGACGTCTCTCGGATGCTAAAGTCTCCTCTGGGTTCTTGACATCAATCACGTCACTGAGTTCCTCCTTCAAGATATTCAGCATCACAGAAATATATTTGTATAAAACCTCCAAATTAAAAATTTGGGAATGTTTCTCCGCGAAACCAACCTGCAATCGTCCAAACACTCCGGACCTTTGATTAGCGAAACCGTATTTCTGCATGGTTCCCAGCTTCTCTTCAGATCGATCTGTGTAAACTTCCTGTTCCAGCTGCCAGTCAAACTCTTCTTCATCCTCCTCCTCCTCACCATCTCCTGTGGTTTCACTGCCTGTTTCTAGAAAAACAGGCAGTGAATGTTGCAACAGTCAAATGTTGCAACATTTACCTAAATTCAAAAGTGACTTCTTAAACACAGCAAACCTATGGAATAATTCCGGGACTCACCGGCACTCATATCTTCCACCAGAAGTTTTGCTGATCGGGAGCCTTTTGGTGCAAGGAGACTAGTGAGCATTTGAAGCCCTCCGAAGTGCTCCCCTCTTGTTTCCTTAGGAGCCTTAAGTGTGAAAACACCTACAGCAAGGTAACATGGAAGGAGAATTATAACCCTTTCAGAACTCCAGAGAAATAAGATCCAAACATCCAGGATACATTTATGTAAGCACACTTTCAGGAAGATTGCTTGTTAATTAAATATAGCATAAAATATAGCATGATGACTTGGTGGAGATACGGGGTGGTAATTATAAACATAGGACTTTCAGCTTGACAATATTAAGTGCGTATACACAGTGCTCACACCGTTCCCCAAGCTCTCTGCTATGCTACAGCTCCTCCCCCCACAGTGGTGAGAATGACCACCAATGAGTAAACAGTTTTCTGTGACATTAAGTTGTTTGTCCAGCACCAGTTTTAAGTGTTTGCAATGTTCAGGTAAAGTCCATCATTTCTGAAAGTTGCGTGTGCATAAAACATATGTAACTTTGCAAATGGAAGCTACAATTTTTACATATATTTTTTGGAATTACAAAACTTGCACAATTACAATACTTTTGAGGATCTGTTTTTTCTTTTTGTATTTAAAATCTAAGAATCCTATAGAGTACCTACTTTTACTGACCTTAAAACACATTAGCTCATTTGAAGTAGACTGTTGAAAAAGATCAAACTTGACTGATGAGTTCAACAATGTAGCCACACCACAGAGATGGTCACTTTAAAGATCTCATAAAATTTCAATGCACCCAAGTGTTACAGCTTGAACCAATTTGCAAGAGAAGGTGACTAATTGCTTAAGAATGGAGAGCCTTCGAAGTGGGACACTCATTATCAGAAGCTTTATTAGCAAACACTGCAGGCTCATACTGACATTTTGTTAGCTACAGATATGCTGACACTTGAGTAAAAGACATATCACTGATGAAGAAGGCAGACACTACTATACAAATGTCAGAAATAATTATGTGACACTAAAATTCAAATACATATTATATAAAAAAAGAAAAATAAATGCATATCTAATAAAAAAAAGAAAAGTCACACATGATCTGATATGTGTGATCCATTATCAGATCAATATCTGCTTTTGTTATCCCAAAAGCAGATAGATTGCCCCCAGATAGTAACCATTGTAGCATCACAGAAGGTTCCAGTGGACATTTAAATGAGTGGAGTAACATGATCAGTTAAGTCAATTAAGAATGGCTGATTTACCAAATCAGCCATTCAGCCCCATTCAGTGATGCCCCAAAAAGCAGCCAAAGCCCTGTCCCAGAATCTTGTTGGAATGTAACAAATATCAACAACAGTGGTTAAACAAAAGCTTTGACCTTAGGTTGTGCATTAAAGCTTTTCTTTACTCTGCCCCCATGCACTAAATGTGCATTCACACCAGCCTTGTTTAGTCTGCTTTAATCAAATTCTAGTTTGTTTCCCTAGAAACTCCAGCTCTTTTGGGGAGGTTTGAATACTCTGGCATGGTTCGAATGCATATGTGAATACCCAGCGGACTGGAGACCGCTCCAAAAGCAGGAAGTTGACTATAGCAGTGGTCCCCAACCTTTTTATTCCCACGGACCGGTTAAGACTTAGAAAATTTTGCTGCGGCCCAGGGGGGTGGGGCAGGGGGTGAACCGTCAGATAAGGCTTCTGCATGTTGGTGTTCCCGCTAAGTCCTGAATTTGCCCAATTTGTCTTGGCCAT